TTCTTCAACTGGTGGTGGAGTTCTAGTTACGTAATTCACAGCATTTACCTTTTCTGCTCCTCCGCTCACATGCTTCAATACCAATCCCAACTCTGTCCTTATCTGGGCCATCTCCTCACGACTGTCATCTGCAGAATTGTCAGTGGTATTATGAACGGCAAATGTGTTTCTCCCAGTATCTGACCTCCTAGTGCTCCATGCTTTATTGTTGCGAGAGATCCTCTCCAATTTTTCAGAAATCTGTGCATATGTACAATCACCATATGAACCTCCGGCAATAGTGTCAAGTACTGCTTTATTGTTATCATCCTGTCCTCGATAGAAGTATTCCTTAAGTGACTCTTCATCACTACAGTGATTTGGGACACTTCTAACAAAGGCGGTGAATCTGTCCCACGAGCTACTCACGGACTCTCCAGGTAATGCCACAAAATTGTTGACCCTATCTTTGTGATTGAGCTTCTTGGACACCGGGTAGTACTTTGCTTTGAACACCTCCGCCAGTTGGTCCCATGTGAATATTGAGTTATACGGAAGCTCAGTGAACCATACTGCAGCATCGCCTGTCAGTGAAAGAGGGAACACTCGTAATCCAATGACATTCATATCCAAGTCTGGTCTACCTACACAACTTTTGCAAACCACCCTTAGCTTGGCCAAGTGAGTGGGTGGATCCTCCAATGGTGATCCTGAAAATAAGCCTCTTGCTGTAAGCATCTGCATCAAACTACTAGTCACCACAAATGTGTGCCCTGGAGGTAAATGAGGTAGGACAATGGGTCCATCAAAGTCTGTTATATCGATGTTGCCCCGATAGTGGTCATGTTGTTGTAGGCCTGGTGGACCATGCACTCTCACTGCATCTCCCAATTGATTTTCAGCTAGACCTCTATTTTCCCCACCAACTACTCTTGGCTGTTGTAACTCAACTGCTTCATCTAGATTTCCTCCAATAGGATTAACTGGAAGTCCTTGATTGTTCATTCTGCGCAAAGTTCTGTTCAACTCTGGATCGTACGGAGTAAGTGGTTCGCCTTGGCTCCGTGTACTTGGCATACACAAGAATCGGAACCTGATAGAGACAAAATCAAAGAGAAAAAGTAAAATTAGGAAATATTTGACTAACGTTCAATAATGTAGTTAAAAATAAATCTAAAAGCCAGACTCCCCGGCAGCATCGCCAAAATTTGATACGCTCAAATTACACCTCCTTACAGAAGTATAAGCGATCGTTATCAAGTAAAGAAAGGGGGGTTGTGTTTGTGTAAAACAAATAGCAAGAACTTAATAAGTAATCAATACTCAAACTCAACTTAGGTTGTTATCAAGATACGAGAAATAACTAGGGTATACGTGTTCCCGACAATCTCATAACGCAGCAATCCTAGTAACAACAATCCTTTTCTAGTGTATTACATGCAAAGTGATAAGTTAGGTATCTCTAAATCTTTG